CCCCAAAACCCCAAAACCCCAAAACCCCTTCCCCCTACAAAATTACTGAATTAATAATCCCAACTAAAAATGAACCCCAAAGAATACCTCCAAGGCGATCAGCCCCCTACTCCCACTAGTCTTCGCTCTCGTCAGCCAAGTACTCTAGCCCCTTCTACAGAAATGAACTAACCGAACTATGGATCTGGAAGGGGCCTCAAGAAGTGTGCTAGGGAATACAGGAACTGAGGGATGCCAGGACGACCATGAAGGAGCTAACAGTGAATTGGCAAGGAATGAGGGAGGTGGGCTAGGAAGAGATGATAGTGATGATAGAAACATTTCAGAGTATATGACTCCTGGGAAGGCAGGGAGGATATATGATGCTAGGAATGTGGATCCATATAGAGAAGTAGAAATGAGAGACAGAGATGAATTGCAAGGGGATACTTTTGAAGATGACTTAAAAGATAACTTAGATCAATATAAGCTGTATGAAATTCCAGAAGAGAGAAAAATTAGGGATTCTCAAGCAAAACAAGATAGCTCAGAAAACTCACACCATCAACATAGCGAAGTAACTTTTAATCGTGATAGTAAGTATCAATTTTAGTAAAAATTCTTCTGAAGCTGCAGAAGATTTTATTGATAAATTTTTAAAGATTACATTCAGGATAAGGGCTTCTTAAACAGCCTTGCTCGATTATAGAGAAACAAGAGGGGCTAGTTTATATATATAAGTAATGGTTATTATTGATAAGAGTAGCGGCGATTTATGTTTAAGGCTTCAACACAAAGCTCAAAAACAAGTTTCATCTCAAAACTAACCCCAAATTACCACCTATTTCTCCCTTACCCCAACAAATCCCCTCTGTCTCTCCCCAACCCCATCCTTCCCTTCCTCTGTTCCTACTCCCAAAACAGTTCATTCCTGCCTTCACAAGTCGAACCTGTCGAAGCCATACTCAAGTCTGGCCAAGTGCAAGTGGAAATAGGAAAGAGAGACTTGAGAAGTTAGGAAGTGGGACCAGGAGGTGGGCGTTGAGATTTTGAATTTTGGATTTTGGATTTTTCATTTGAAAATTTTTTGCTGTTGGCTCAAAATTTTGCGAGAATCCTTTGGGGTGATGAATTATAAATTTAATAGGTGGCAAGCGAAATATAAACGTAAAAGGAACAGAATCTTCAGAGGAGAGTAAGTATAAGAACGGTAAGTATCCCTTTCAGTTGGAGTTTATGAAAGTTAACATTTGTATGGAAAAATAGACGACAATTAAAAAGTTGCCTTTCCCTGTTATATTTGCAGTCCTTTTTCATTTTGAACGAATGTACTTTAGAAGTTTTAGATTAAGGAAGCAAAAATATGACTTTTTTTTAGCTATAAAGAGCTTTCTGTCAAGTTTATTCTTAATTCATCTGTGAATATCATTTAGGGAGGATTTATCAAACTACCATATCTTATTTTGAAATAAAATTTGTGTATCTTTAATAAGTTCTCAGGAAACATTGGGATAGTTGATAACAAAAGCTTATAAATTCTATCAAATCATTGTTTTCCTTTCTGGGACTAGATCAGCTAAAGCTCTCTATGATGTTGAGCTGAAGACTCATAATGTCTAGATTGACAAAATATGAGAAGAGATCAGATCAAAGAGAAAGAGCCTAATATGTATCTTAAACACAGTAGAGGAAGTCTCCCATATTCAATTTTGAAAGCTTCTTTTCAATCTGGAGATGAATCTAAAGATGAGTCTCCAGGGATGCATATAGAGAATAAGTTTCTCTTTAGACAATCCGATGAAGGTAAGATCTTAATTAACAGGGGTAAATGAATGAGCAAAATTCATCAGCAAGACTTTTGGCTAATTTTTTTTTAATCAACAACTAAAAATCTTCTCAACAGTCGTTCATTAATTTTGATAATTTACTCTTGAATTTGCTCCCTTTCAATTGGAAGATTTTTAATTCAGAGATTTGCTTGTTTAACTACTATTTTAGGCAAAAGAGATAGCTTTTTATATGAAAATACATCGAGAGGGAAATAGCAATAGCTTGACTCTCAAAACCACATCTTCAAAAGATTTTGCACATTTGGGAAAAGACGATTTAAAAAATATTTCGGAACGTTCCTCTGTTCTTTCTCTAAGATATCCCCAAACACTTGATGTCAAACAAACTCCTCGTATACAGAAATTTTGTGAGTCTAATGATGATCTGGTAAGTTTCTAGACAACTCCAAGAGCATCAAGAGATAAAGAGCACTTTAGTTAAAAATGAAAGATTTCAGAACACAGATAGATATTATGCAATTTTATTTGGGCTTTTGCACTTCTTCCTGATTAGAACCCCAAAAATTGATAATTTTCTATGCTTTAAGTATCTATCTCAACAGTTTTTAGGCAAATTATGGAAAAGAAGAAAGAAAGTCTGAAGAGAGTGATGAAGATAGCTTACATTTAGATACAGAAAATTCTATTGATAATAATTTTAGTCCTTCCTCTCAAATGTATGATGTTAATAAGTTCGAAGAAAATTAAAAATCCAGGACTGAAGCTCTTCCAAAGTCCGAAAGATTATATTCCAATGAAAATTAAGAATTGAGATATTTGTAAAGAGAATTATAAAAGATTCGAGAAAATTAGAATGTACCAACTGCATGCAAGATGTGATTATTCATACAAAGAAGTTCTTGAACTTATTGATCAATTTGGTATACTTGATATAATGTTTAGATATTCCTGAGAAATAATGAAAACTTTGTTCTGAATATGGATATGAATATAAAATTCTCATTAGAATCAAAAAGAATCTGAGAGTTTTTCGAGGCAATTGAAAAAGGATTACCTCGATTTATGAGTTTTGAAATCAACTCAGTTCGTCCTGCTAATCAACAAGTCTTGATTAACTTTATGACTAAGTACTTCTGTTGATCTGTAGATACTTTCTCCTTTAAATGTTGGCGCTATGAGAATGAATTGAGTCTAGATCCTTTCTGTGACGGATTGCTTGGAATAAGTAATAGAGTACTAAAGAAGTTGGATCTTTGGGATTTTGAAATTTCTAGAGAGCAGATAGTTCAAATATTTTCCTTTTTCAAGAACACTCCTCACTTGAGTTTCAGTTCCTGTTTTCTAGAACTGTCAGAGTTTCCTAATTTTGGAGATTCATTAAATGGTTCAAATATTATGATGCTAAGTTTAAGATATTGAGGTGAAAATAATAGAGGAAATTGGGCTGTAAACAGTGATCACTTTGAGAATCTCATATATGGACTAGCTGATTGTCAAGACTTCAAATATAGCTTATCAAGGCTAAATTTAGCCATACCAAAAATTGAACAGGAGTATTACAGAAGGATTCTTCTAAGATACGGATTTGAAAAAGTAAAGACATAATTCTTCTTCATCAATCATAAGTTTTACCAAAAAGTTATATTTTTAAATAATAGACTTTCCATGTTTTAAGCTTAAGACGGGGTTTTGGGGTTTTGGGGTTTTGGGG